GAAGAACGTGAAAAGGGAGAAATACAAGAAAGGAGTAGATGGAACAACTTACAGCAATAGCAAAACGAAATACAGCCTTAATCTATAAAAAAAGTTGAAGCAATAACTAAAGAGAAGGAGAGAAAGGTTTTAATGATATTTGAAATGGAGTCAGTTTGGAGAGTTAGTGGTGGTCCTAAAAGTAAAGAAAAAATTTTCGGGATGAAAGTGCAAAACATGGAGGAGAAGACAAGAATGCTGGGGAACAAGATTCGATCGGAAAAAATTTTAAGGAAAGCAAGACGAAATTAAAGTGGGGAATATGAAAGTAAAAACAGATAAAAATGGTTATAGGAATAAGAAATCAAGAGGATGGTAGAGGAAAGCAAGAGGGCATTTCGAAGAAAAGGACATGTATTTTCATAAGGGTGGTAATTTTCCGAACCCTTTTTGATAATATTCCATCCCCCTTACTTATGAATCACTCTGTCACCGTATCTGGTGTTATCCGTAACCGTATTTTCGGTATAACTACAAATAATAACGCATTTTGTTCATACGTTGATCAACTTTTGGAATCGGAATAGTCAAATTAGAATATATGGAAGACAAAAAGTAAAAATTGTCTCAGACTTTCGCAAAAGTTTTCTACAAAGTACAAGAATGCTCTTTCTGTACCTATAGAACTTCAGAAAGTAATAAAATGAATAAAGAAACAAACTAAAAAAAGAATATTTACCTGCTCACATTGTGTGATGATGTGCTCGAGTAAAAATTTAATAAAGGATAAAAGTTTGCAAGAACTAGACGACAATTAGTTTTTCAGCGAGGTAAACAAATTGAAGCTATTATTTTATGTAAATAAAGTAGGTAAAGTTTGAAACAAAATCGATAATTTTCTTGTTGGTTGCTTTCCAAATAATCTACTTATTTTTAAATATGAAATTTACATATATGTTTTTAACCTTTAGTATACTTGGAACGTTCAAAATCAGCATAGTTCGCAATAAAACTGTCATATTTACTTTCTTCTTTCAATTTACTAATTAGACTAGAGCGGTTTCCGACAGAACGCTTAATTTTACTTTACACGACAGACGTTGTAAGGAATATCGTACCTAAGCATAGAAAAGAGATGTCAGGTAGGAATTGCAGCGGACAATAACAAAAAAACTTTGTAGGGTTAANAATAAGAAATCAAGAGGATAGTAGAGGAAAGCAAGAGGGCATTTCGAAGAAAAGGACATGTATTTTCATAAGGGTGGTAATTTTCCGAACCCTTTTTGATAATATTCCATCCCCCTTACTTATGAATCACTCTGTCACCGTATCTGGTGTTATCCGTAACCGTATTTTCGGTATAACTACAAATAATAACGCATTTTGTTCATACGTTGATCAACTTTTGGAATCGGAATAGTCAAATTAGAATATATGGAAGACAAAAAGTAAAAATTGTCTCAGACTTTCGCAAAAGTTTTCTACAAAGTACAAGAATGCTCTTTCTGTACCTATAGAACTTCAGAAAGTAATAAAATGAATAAAGAAACAAACTAAAAAAAGAATATTTACCTGCTCACATTGTGTGATGATGTGCTCGAGTAAAAATTTAATAAAGGATAAAAGTTTGCAAGAACTAGACGACAATTAGTTTTTCAGCGAGGTAAACAAATTGAAGCTATTATTTTATGTAAATAAAGTAGGTAAAGTTTGAAACAAAATCGATAATTTTCTTGTTGGTTGCTTTCCAAATAATCTACTTATTTTTAAATATGAAATTTACATATATGTTTTTAACCTTTAGTATACTTGGAACGTTCAAAATCAGCATAGTTCGCAATAAAACTGTCATATTTACTTTCTTCTTTCAATTTACTAATTAGACTAGAGCGGTTTCCGACAGAACGCTTAATTTTACTTTACACGACAGACGTTGTAAGGAATATCGTACCTAAGCATAGAAAAGAGATGTCAGGTAGGAATTGCAGCGGACAATAACAAAAAAACTTTGTAGGGTTAACAGAAGGAGATGCAGACAAGCAGAATTTGAGCATCGGACTTTAAAGAAAGCTTAAGATTCTCAGGAATGTAGGGAACCAATGAGACTTGTTTAAAGATATAATTCTAAGCAGGCGGTTTTAAAGGCGACCCTGACATTTTACGTAGCTAAGCAACATATGAAGATTGGAAAAACTTTGGCGGTTGTTCTAGAACAGTGTTTCCCAGCCTTTTCTTCCTCGCGAACCAAAAGAAACGTTCAAAAAAATTTGACGAACCCCCTATGTAGTCGTTAATGACAGGTTAAATAAAGCAATAAAATTTGATAGAATATATACTTTTTCATATTGCATAATAATTGAATCGTGAAATATTTAAATAAAACATTAATAAGACTAAAATGATGTAAATGTAGTAAACTGCCTTAATTTGATATTTATTTCCAATTGTATTGTAAAAAAAAATATTACATAGAATGGAAAACCGCTAAAATGATTTTAAATATAAATAAATACAGTATTTGATTACTTGAACAAGAGGAATATATTTTAATGTATAAAATTGTTGATATAATTTGATATTGATGAAGTAATTTTGAAAAACAAATAAGTAAAAAGAAATGAAAATATTGAAATTTATAATAGATTTCTTAACAAACAGGCATTTTATTCTTTTGCTTTTGATTTTAATGACGTTTTGAAAAATCCGCCATTACAATATTACTTTCGCGACCCCCTCTGCAAACACTGCGAACCCCCAGGGGTTCGCGAACCGCCGGTTGGGAATCACTGTTCTAGAACAAACAAAATAGCTTAAACCCTAACGCCAAAACACGACAGTGCAGTTGTCCGAAGCACTTTTCGGTAACAATGTTATTGTGAATTACAGTCCCTGAAGAAGGTAACCTTTTACCTAAAAGTGCTTCGGACAACTAAAGTGTGTTTTGACGTTGGGGTTTGAGCTATTTTGTTTGTTCTGGCTAAGCAACCTCTAACCGCTGCACCGTTTACTATCATTCGAGTGTCTCTTTTTAATTTATCTGTACTACTCATGAAGCATTTCTTAACTTAACGAGAGCGTGTTCAAAATGCAGTAAATGACTACAGTCCCAAGTGGAGACAAGCATGTACTCACGTTGTTCCTGCTACGTTTTGCCAAATTCCATCGGCAAGAGGAACATTTATTTGAGATCCACTAGAAATTTGGGTTCCCATCAAATTAGGAAGTATATATCCCTTACCAGATGCGATATAATAACATTATACCAATTAATGTGTAAAATAAAGAGGTGCAGACAAACAGAGTTTGAGCATCGGACTTTAAAGAAAGTTCAATTTTCTGAGGAATTTAGGAAAGCAAAGATGCTTGTTTAGAGATATAATTCCAACTAGGCAGTAATAAAGCCGACCCTGATCTTTTGAGTACCTAAGCAACCTCTAACCTCTGCTCCGCTTACTATTATTCGATTATCTAATTTTACTTTATCTCCTGAAAAATTTCCTAACTTAATAAGGCCGTGATCAAAACGCAGCAAATGACTACAGTCCCAAATGGAAACAAGGAAGAAGATATGTCCATCTTGACAGATAATCTACCGAGCGTCATGGCCTAGAGGTTTAGATCATTCCTTAGTATTCGGGAGGACGCCGGTTCGATTCTGGGTCCGTCTGCCTTGGTCCAAGTTTTTCTGTGGTTTCCTTGGATCACCTAGGTAGTAATATTCCACAGATAATATTTCATTCTCTTCTGTCTTCATTTCGTCCGTCTCAACTTTCTCACCGAACCACCACCCACCCATTCCCACGATTCCTGAAAGCAGGCTGATGAGGGCCTTCCGCCCTACCTTCCGGCGTAGTCCAGAGGGACTGCCCGTTCATCAGCATTACTGGCTGGTGGGAATTGAAACCCAAAAGTTTTTTACAAATAATCTATTGCAGACTTTGCCAATTTTGGTTGCCCCAACTATATCTGCTCTCATCTGTTGCAAATTGAAAACTAACCTTAATAAAAGTTGTAGGATTCGATGGTCGCCATCAAATGTTCAGTACCAAATCGGGACCGTTAATACGGCCCTAAGGCTCCAAACATTTTATTTATGATAATTCCAATTTTCTATGACATATTTATATTAATTATGATACTGTCGGAAGGCATTCAAATATTTTGGCGTACAATTCGGCACCCGTATATAGCTGCACTGATTGGTCTCTAAACTTTTTTATTATGGTAATACCAATTTTTTATTGGCAGATTTACATACATTAATTATGAGAGCATACTGTCGGGATGCATTCAAGCATTCCGGCATACAATTCGACATCTATTTCTGCAATGACTGTTCAGTTTTAGTTTAGGGAGTGACTATGTATAGTCAATAGCAATTACTGAAGTGCTCATACTTCATAATTTTTTAAGGATGACAATGTTACAGCAGAAACATTCAGAATCCTCAACTGCACTACCCTTGCTACAACATTCCAACCCACTTTTCAAGTTTAACATTCTGGTAGCAATTTAAGCACTTGGTTAATCGCGTGCCGAAACATATACGATAATGTCTAAAACATATACGATAATGTCTAGAATTGTTGGAAATAGTACCTACATGAGGTAAACAAGCACGTTTACCTGTCCAGTTACAGCAATATGTGCTTACGTCATTCTGTCCGACATATCGTTTTATAATCATTATGTTATATGATTTACCTAAAAGGTACGTGTTGAACATTACTTTGTATAATTCTTTAAATAAATGCTCAATATTTTAAAAGGAATCTTCAAATTACACATTATGGTCTAATTATCAGCTAAACCAAACCTAACCCAACCATAACCATATTTTTGTATTTTTTTTATAAACACCCAATTTGTGACATTAATTCAATTTATATCTGAGTATAAGTAACAACAAAGACACCTAGTGTATTTAAGAAAGATTAAAATAGGTTAAAGCAAAATGTGACACAAAACTAGTAGTAGTTCAAAATGAATCACTATTGTTCATTTTAGGTAAGTGTACTTACATGTTGTATGTGGATATTTTTCAGGAGGTGGTTCAATCCAAGGAAACTCTGTAGTCGTCGTGGTTCTGTATGTTGGAGGTCTTCTTTTTTCCATTTCTATGCTCTTCTCGCAGCTGCGATAGTACACGGTGTACATGCTTGCGACACATCGGATTTTAAGTCTTTCTCGCGAAAACAGTTGCTCCGTTATTAACATACGAAGACCCAGTTTCGCACTGTAACAAGGAAACCTTGTTTAGAAAAATACAAATAAGGGTGTTACAAACCTTCAAATTAAGATGAAATGTAAAAAGAGAATTGATTATTGATTATTTATTTATGATACAATTCTGGAGTTTGTTCCTTATCAATCTCTAAATTCAAGAAATATCGAGTATTTTGAAATGTATCCGATGATTGGAATTGTTTTCGGAAAATCATTTATGGGCATATTACACAACGACCACATACCGACATGTCTTTTAATCATCATCATCATCATCATCATATGGTCGTCAGTCCTAAGACTGGTTGGACACGCACCTCCGCTCTTTCCTATCCTGCGCTAACCTTCGCATTTCCCTAAAACTAGAACAACCCATATACTTGCGAACTATTTGCGAACAGTAATCTAATCTAGGTCTACCTCCACCTCTCCTAACTTCCGTTCTGTCTCTAATATATCTCCGGCTAGACTTTCATGCCTGAGGAGGTGTCCGACTAACCTATTTCGCCTATTTCTTATTGACTTCCATAGAGTCCTCTGTTCTCTTACTCTTTCTAATACCTCTTCATTTCTAACCTTCTCTATCCACGGTATCCTCATCATTCGTCTGTAACACCACATTTCGAACGCTTCTAATATTTACTTCTCTACGTTACAGCCTCATCTCTATAACTGCCTGTTGCTCTTTTTACAAACTAAGTATCACTCTTCTATCTTTGTAACACATCCCTACATTTTTATGTATATTTAACATCTTGTCCCATTTAACATTATCAAAAGCTTTTTCTAAATCTACAAAACCTATGTACACCCTCTTTCTTTTCTCTGTTGTTATCAGTAAAGCTAGAATGTCCTCTCGTGTTTCTCTATTTCTTCTAAACCCAAACTGATCTTCCCCTAATAGTTCTGCCGCCCTTTTTTCCATCCTCATCTGCACAATTCTACAATTCAGTACAATAAGATTTTTGACGCAATATTTTTTAATAACTCAAATTTTATTCTATTCCTCATCACCGTAAGGTCGTCAACTTTAAGACTGGTTTGACACGCTCCTCCATTCTATTCTATCCTAAGCTAAACTTAACAATTCCCTAAAACTAAACATCCGACATCCTTAACCATTTGAGAAAAGTAATCTAATCCACATCTAGCTCTACCTCTCTTAACTCCTGTATCTGCTTTTAATATGTTTCTAATTAGTCCTTCATGCCTGAGAAGGTGTTCTACCAACGTATTTCGCCTATTTTTTATTGACTTCCATAGAGTCCTGAGTTCTCCTATTCCTTCTAAAACCTCTTCATTTCTAACCTTCTCTATCCACGGGTTCTCATAAACACAATATTTTGTAACTAGTTGTTTATTAAAACATCTAACTAAAACATTGAAGGGTTCTTTCGGCCTACTTTCGATATCCATAATGTTATCATTCAATCAGAATTTGTAATTAAAGATTGCTAGCTATTTAAATATTAATATTCTGTATTCAGTTTGACTGGTGCAATTTAACCTTAAAATTTTGGCGTTTACTGCATTTCCAAATCATCTATGAAGTGCTATCCGCCACTGACCACATTACATACTGTTGGAATTTGGGCAGGCTTAACCACTGTACAGGTGTTTCCCCTCTTTGGAAGTCTTTATCAAGGTATTAGACTTTTAAAGTCAATAGAATAGTTCTTTTTCTACATTTAGACAGTCGACGCTACCTACAGAAAAGGAATCGTTATTACTAAAGTTTAATTTCCACCAAAAGACATTAGTTTATTAAAAACATTTTCTTTTCCTAGCTCTGGTATTGATTTTGACACTCTAGTTATTTTATTTCATTTACACATACACCTACTCCTCAAAAACTATTAAACCAATGGGCAATTGTCAAAAGTCAAGTCATAGCTATGTATTTAAATACTAAATCTTGTTTCTGTGGCAAAACGGAGCAAATTATTTAAACATTGTAATACGTACATACTTAGAATTTCGAAAATAATAGTTTTGAATTCCTTGTTAAAGATTTTTAGGTGACATTCCAGGCGGTCTAGAGGCACCAAAAGAATATCTTTTTTATGCGCTACCTTTAAAATGTCCCTCGAATATAAATTATTTTTGAATACCCAATATTCAGAAAATATGAGGGTGAATATGTATGTATGTTTTAATACAACGGCAAATTGTTCGAATTCCTCGTAGTTTCTAAGAAATACGGATTACTTCTTCTTTCTTGGTATGGAAATCTAAAACAGATTAAAAGTTCTCAACTGCAAAAAACGGTTCAGCTGAGGCTTTTGACCTCGTTATTTGACAATAACGATTAATTTTTCAGATTTTTAGATAGCCATTTTGTGTATACCTAGCGTAATTATTTTTATCAATCTCCCAGATAGTCGTGGGCAAAAATATAGAAAATTGCATTTTTCGATTAAATATCAGGGCTTTATAAAATTTCATTTACTTTATTAAGCAGTTCAAAAGATATACAGGGTTTGTCCGGAAAGTAATAGGACTGATTTCCTTGCGCCGCGACTGTACTTCGGAGCGTGCGAGCACCGACTGGATTCGATAGAGGGCATTCCTAGCTAACGAACGAGCGGCTAGTGAGTTGTCTCCGAGCACCTGGAGAGTCAGAACAGGCTTTTTCGCGCGACGTGTTTCTGTGGGTGGTGCAAGCCAAAAATGCAGCGTTGGTTAGAGCAGAGGTACGCGATTAATTTCTGGGTAAAAGTCGGTAAATCTGCGACAGAGACGTTTGATATGATCAAGCAGGCTTACGCAGATGTTGCTTTAGCAAGAAGTGGTGTGTTTTGGTGGCACCTGGCCTTTTCAGAGGGCCGGGAGAAGGTCGCCGATGAAGACCGTGCTGGAAGACCTTCGACTTCGACAAACACCGACAATATGACTCGTGTGCGCGAAGTTTTGAACTCAAGCCGTCGACTAAGTATTCGTTTAATTTCCCAGATATTAAATTTACCAAAATCTTGAACATGCGCAAGGTGTGCGCGAAGATGGTCCCAAAAGTGCTCACTGAAAAGTCCTGGATCTTTGAGTATGATCCCGAAACAAAGAGGCAAACTTCCGACTGGCACACGCCCAAAAAAGGGAAGAATGAGCAAATCCAAAGTGAAGACGATTGCTCATTGTCTTTTTTGACATGAAAGGCATCGTCCACCATGAATTTTGTTCCTCCTGAACAAACCGTCAACGCCAAGTTTTACGTGGAAGTACTCAAGAGACTCAAAGGAAGGGTCAATCGGGTCCGACAAGACATCGCAGCCGACTGGAAGTTGCACCACGACAATGCTTTTCTTGTGGACAGCTACCTGACCAAGGCCGGCATCCCAACGCTTCCGCAGCCGCCCTACAGCCCAGATGTGGTCCCCCCCGGACTTTTTTTTGTTTGCTCGCTTGAAAAGGTCGATGAAATGCAAGCATTCCGGAGAATGCCTTCTGTGACACCTTCTATGCTTGGAAATCGCGCTGGCAGCGCTGCATTGACGCAGAAGGAGCCTATTTTGAAAGTTTTGAATGAATTGTAACGATTGGCTCAATAATTTTTTTTAAGTCGACTCAGTCCTATTACTTTCCGGACAAACCCTGTATATGTATATATTGTTTGTTATGTTTGGAATAAAACTAGCCAAAAATTTTTGTCGTGTTAACAAAATCGTTGCGACAATCTCCGCTGATGATAGATTCTAGAACTAGCTGACTATTAAGCGTTTAATAAAAGATGGAATTGTATGTTAGGTCTATTCTCGATACCCAGGATGTCTTCGTTCAATTAAAGATCACCAATTTTGACAATCCAGTTGGAACAAAACAACTGCAAGAAGATGGTCCATCAGGTTTAAATGATTTTCGTATTAGGTTTTCTTTTTCATTATTCGATGCAATACTTTAGCATTTCACATATGTGTCCTAATACTTTTAATTCAAAATTACTTACACATTCCAGAATCACTTCAAACCCAATTTTGTCCCAATGTGGGCATAATGTGATTTAAAAATTATTCCTCCGCTTAAAGGCACGGGACTTCAGTTGGTTAAGGTCAAATTAAGAATCATTTTAGAATACCTTGAAACTATGATGTTTCCAAAACACTGAATTAAATTTAGTACGGCTTGTAGGCGTCCGGTTCGGATAAACGGATAAATTTCGTTAGTAAGCAGTTTCCGGAGAAGATGTGCAATTAATTACAAACACAGAATAATCGTAAACGTACTAATCAGCGAACATACATATGTATGTAGGTATAGACGCTGACCATAAACGCATTATGTTTGCAGAAGACAAAGGGCAAAAGCACAAGCGGTTTACACACGAAACAAAGCATCCGCCAATGATCACACGCATACTATTCTCAACTGATAAATTGAACAGAATTGCTGATGTGATAAAGGCACCGTTGAGCAATCGAAACGAGCAGCTTCGATAAATATTGGAATAAAGTTCAATATTGAATTTGTAGTAGGAATACTATGAAACGTCATTCATCATCATCATCTTAAGGTCATCAGTCCTGAGATTGGTTAGATATGCACCTGCACTCTTCCTTATCCTGAGCTAACCTTCACATTTCCCTAAAGCTAGAACAACCGATATCCTTAAGTATTTATGACCAGTAATTTAATCTAGATCTTCCGTTAGCCCTTTCAACTCATGTTTCTGCTTCCAACTTGTTTCTGATTAGCCCTTCATGCCTGAGAAGGCGTTCTACCAACCTATCTCCTTGTTGACTTCCATACAGTCCTCTGTTCTCCTATTCTTTCTAATACATATTCATTTCTAACTCCTTCTACTAACGGTATCCTCATCATTCGCCTGTAACACCATATCTCAAACATTTCTTTTACTCCGCGCCTACCGTCCATGTTTCGTGTCGCAATCCAAGCATACACCTTTAAGAACCTTTTACGAATTTCTAAATTGACCGTTCGTGAGCATAGAAATGACTTCTTTTTATTGAAGACGACTCGACCCTGCGCTATGCTCTACTTTATATCACTACTACACCTTCCGTCCTGACTTGTCTGACTTCCTAGGTGTCTAAACTTTTTCTGATCCTTCGTTTTCCTATTTATATTCGCTCTTTCCTTACATTTTCTTCCCTTGCATACCAGTATATTGAAAGCAATCTCTAATTGCTTGTTAGATGCTAATACTGCTATATCAATTACAAATCTAAGCATTAAAATCTTTTGCCCCTCTATGTATATGTGACTAGCTAGCTTAAATATACGATCCCTAACCTCTTATCCTACATGTTTTAAAATTTCCACGTGTATCCCGTCTATATCTGGTGCGTTATTATTCTTTAAATTTTTTAATGCTACATCGAACTCTTCTTTCATTATGGTCCATATAAATACTGAAAATCTTACTTGGAAAATTATAGAAGAAATGTAAACTAGCAGCTTCTGGTAAGGAAATATAGGTATGGAAGAAGTGTCTATTAGGTAGTACTTTGGTATTAGAAACGTATGTAGCTCCCTGTTTATAATATTCGCCTAAACTGGACCTACATGAGTAACAACAGTCACTTTACCATGCACTTCATGTGATTTATCTTTTGAGTCTGATGTTTGTACCTACCTACATCAATAAATACAGTAAGAACTAAAATTCATAACATCTAAAGATTACTTTCGATCTTGTTTTTTCCGCGCTTTCATAGTATGAATACTATTAGTTACGTGTTCATATTCAAGAAACTTCACTTTCGAAAGGTTTTTGTTGATCCAATCAGATATTAGTCAAAACTAATCATTTTATGTCATTTTAAAAAACCGACAATTGTATGACAAGAACTATAAATAAAATTCCTTCAATTACCTACTACACAATTTATTAATAAGCTTTACTTCAGTAGTATGTCCTTACACGAAAGTATGTACGACTAACTATATCGCTTTTTGACTTGTTCCTGATGCTAATCCCGATTCTTGTTGAACTATTGGCATTTAGCCCCTGGGTTATAATTTATTAACGACCTTCCTACATACGCTGATCGGCTCTTTTTCTACTTATTTTTAGATACCTACCATTATAAATATTCATTTATGATTCCGATATAAATTTTTTATTTATTTTTCCGAAGCCCTATTATATAAATTAGATTGTATCAACAACTCAACATAATTTGAAATCGATACCATCATAGAAACTTATATATCTATCACAACAGCAATCAATGTCTATATATACATCTGCGCTATTAATCATTTATAAAGAGGTGAGGTTTTCTGTTTCTTTTTTAGGGTAATCTTTGGAACTCCTCTCATTTGATATCTACGTATATTTCTCTTGCAAAACTTGCGGTCCCCGTAGGTCTCTATCATAAAATGAACTCTTTAACCTTTCGTTACTAGCCTGGTAATGAAAAATACGGTTAAAAGCGGAACGATTGCTTTTCGCAGAATTTTACAGATATATAAAATCTATTAGGACAAAAACTCCGTACCTTACGGAACCTGTAATTCTTCTACTGTACAGGCCTGATGTTGGAAGCTGGCGGAAATTTTAAAATGGCGTGGATGCGCAGTGGCAAAAGTAGGCAGTTGTAGATATAAAGATTGCTGCCCTCATTCTTTAGTATTCCTATCAGGGGCATAGATTAAATATTTAAAAATAGGGATCCACGAGCAAGTAATAGACAGACAAACAGAAGAACTAATTGTTGATGTTGGTGACAGTGATAGAGATTCCCATGATGAGAGTGAATGTGAAAACTAACTAAAAAACAAAAGCAATACATTTATTTTTTATTTTTGATAAGTCATGTTTTTACATTATTTTCTAGTACGCTACTATCCTATCTGTATTAATACTATAATTTACGCCTACTGAAAGCTTATTTGTGTATCGATTCCAAGTGACTTATCCAAATAGGTCAAAAATGGGCAAGTACCGACGCGACCGCTCGCCAGCTTCCTTCGTATATTTCTCTTGCAAAACTTGCGGTCCCCGTGGGTTTCTATCATAAAATGAACCGTTAGGGTTTAACTTTTCGTTACTGGTCTGGTAATGAAAAATACGGTTAAAAGCAGAACGATTGCTTTTCGCAGAATTTTGAAGATATTTACAATATATTGGGACAAAAACTCCGTACCTAACGGAACCTGTAACCCTTCTGCGGAACACCACATGGGAACCGCTGATTATACTTACTAATAAACCTGTCTGCACTATTTAAATATGAAGTACATATTATACTAACCTTACCAAACCCTCAGTGGAATTGTGAGGTTTGTGAATTTTAAGATGGGATATATGTACTGGGCGATCGTTAAGATACCACGTCAAGTTAACAGCAGGCCATGAATTTCTGGAGATACAATCCGCTTTGACCACGTCGCCTTGTCGGTATCGCTTCTTTACCCCAACAATCAATGGCTCACTTTGGGGAACTTCTACTACCTGTAAAAATTACATTTATTAGTAGACATTCTCGGAGAGTGTAGAAAATACTAACTTGCACATTATGAAAGAGATCTTTATAAATATACATATCGGGTAAAAGTAATTATCGCCTAATATTAATAAGAAAAACTGATTAATCAATAACGACTTGAATGTAAATGGTTATATGTATAAGTAAAAAAAACAAGTCGTAGGTGATAAAGATAGGGGAGGTTAGAAATGAACAAGAAGAGGAATAGGTGACCATGCAGAGGACTTTATGGAAGTCAAAAAGAAATAGATTGGGAGGACACCTTCTCAGGCATGAAGGTCTAGTCAGGGTAAATGTCTAGATGATGACCCCCACCCCCGCAGGGGGTGGGAGTAGGTGCGATCGAAAGAGGAGTTTTCCCCCACCACTGTACCTTAAAAAGTTCGTGGCGGTCTCACCCCCATAAAAAGTTATGGGGACCAGATTATGGCCCCCCTACTCCCGAAGAGGGTGGGGTAGGGGGAATCGAAAGAGGGTGGTATGTGAGCAAAACCCCGAAAAAAATTTCCGGCGGTCTCACCTACATAAAAGTTATGGAGGTTGAAAGTTGATTATTTTGACAATCTTCATACACTATTTTCGTAAGTTTGTTTGGGTCACTTTGTTATAGAAGGTTTTGAGGAGGACTTAGAAAACGAATAATTAAAACTAGACAACAAAAACATATATTTACAACTTAACAACAACTGGCGTAGCGAAAGGAGAAGAGAAGAGACTTGTTCTGCTGAAGGCGTAAGACGAACTGCTTTTGTATTTTATGAAAAATGAAAAACTGCTCTACAAGGTAGGAATAGAGAGGGTAGTAGATACGAGTAGGGAAGCATTAAAATATGGAAACTTTAAGATTAGAAATACCAAGAAATTGATGGCCGGTCAACCACCGAAGAAACCGATTGTAAAAATGTAATTAGGAAGGAATGAAAGGTACAGACGTCATGCGGTTAGTACACAAAAGATGAAATGTTACAGGGATTATAGGAAAGTACAGTAATAGAGTTATTTAAATAGATAAGCAAGATACAATAGATTATTTACAAAAGGAAGGAATTTTTAT